TGATACCACTTGTTGGGATTGGAAAATTCTTCTATTCAATATCAAGAATAGAATTACAATAGGAGGAGCAAACTCTCACACTCAACTATTACAAAAAACCAATCTTCACCAATACACTCCTACTCTAAGTGTATTTCACTCTTCACACACTTCTCTCACTTTCTAAACTGATACTATGAACAACAATAGAACACTCTATTTATAGGCTAGTTTGGAGACAAGAGGAAGTTGCATCCAAGCTTCCATAGATATCTTCATATCTTATTTCATGTTTAGATGTTGGAAAGCTCCTTCTAGGAAGGTGTGAGATGTCTCTTGACAACTTCTAAGGAAGAAGGTGGAAATTACCTACATGAACAATATATTGAACTATTGAAGTATGGTATACAGATCGACTTCAATGCCATGGTCTTCACGTTTTTCTTTTTGCATTTCTTTTACAATAATTTTAAATTTTTTGCTATGATTAATTAAGCTTCCACCATTTGCTAAATAATAAAAGGTTTTGAGTTTTGTTTTATACTTTTACTTATGAGCTTGTGAAGCTTTGTTCGTCGATATCTTTGTTGTTTTCATTAACATAAAATTGTACTTTTGAAAGCTTCTATGATCTTCAAATTTGAAAATAACTATCCGAGCCAACATCTAAACTCAATTTCATTAATTACATATTTACATTTTTATGACTTGAATAATGTGTGGGTTGATGATGTTTTTTTATTTGTATCTAATATTATTGCACTTTGTATAGCAAGTAATATCCGTAGTATTAAGAAGTTAGAGCCACATTGATGACCACGTGGTGTTGATAGTGCATAATGTATTAATATACTATTAGTTATTATTATTATTCAATTAACTAAGCTTAGCTATACCATGTCAACATCAAATATTTCACTGTAGTAAGTATAATAAGTCTAAGTTTAAAACTTCACACTTTGTGTTTAGACATATAAATTTGTACTTTCGCAATTCTATGGGCGTACAGCTTAAATCTTTTTTAAGTTAAACTTCTTGACAATTATGTTAAACTTTGGCCAATGATATTTCCATATATAAAATGTTTTTTGCTAAAAATAATCTCATAAAATATGACTTATAAATTTTACAAAAATATACTCTATTAGTCAAGATCATTGAACACAGTCTAACACGAAGTCGAAGAAGTATTTTTTAGGAAAAATCTCATCATCCTAAACCGCAACGCAATCAGAAAAATTCCAATTTTCTTAAAACCCAATGACTTTAGAGTACGCTTGATTAGTTGTAGGTAATAGCAATTTGAATGATGGTGTTTGGACAAAAAAAGTAATGGGTTTATTGTGACCATATGATGCCCTAAAAGTGAGAAATAAAAACCTAGTTAGCTAGGTAGATTATAGCATATAAATTTATGCATGCAATGCATACATTTATGTATGTATGTGTATATGTATATAACATATATACATCCTTTTATAGCTAGGCTAGGGTTTTGATCAGATGTATATGACAAGCTAATTAAGGTCAGTTTTCAAGTTTTATACCTGGACATATTTTTCTTCTTTATATGAATTATTCTAGTACGTGGACAGGGGTGGAGCACCGACCCCAATATCTTTTGGGACTAAGGCTTGGATGTTGTTGTTGTTGTGGACAGGGGTGGAGCTATATATGCTTAATTTATTTGCATGCAGCTAGCCGTTATATATATACACGTACCACTAACAAACTTTCTGCTATATCAGATCAGAAAGTTAGTTACGAGTATTTATTTAAAGAAGACTCCTTTATTTTGACTTATTACCAAATGAGGAAAAGAAAGAAGGTCAGGGGATGTTTCTTTAATTTTAAGCTGGACGTACATTATTTATGCATCAATTCGGGAAAAAATTCATATATGTAATCAATGTTCTTTTAAGAAATGAAAAATGCAGTCTTGCGCAGAGGCACTTGGAAAAAGGACAAGAAGGTCGTCCTTTTTGAAAAGGCAGTACGTATTTCTTAGCAGCTTGCCAGCTTGGAGGAAGAAGACCAATTCAAGAAAGTAAAGAAGTCAACACTAAAACCTCTCCTTGTTCCGCATTTTCTTCGATTCTTTTCAAAAAGGACTCGATCTCTTTTTTAGCGCATTAAATCGATTTGTAGCAGATTAAACCATGCCCCTTATGATGATGAAATGTGTACTACGTCCAGTACTATAATGACTTGTCATTTTTCAAACAAAAAATCATACTTTCCCATTTATTATTAGTAATATAACGACTGAGTCGAAAAAAATTCCGAGTTTCTCGAAACCCAACAACATTAGCAAAAAAAATGAATATCCAGAGTGTGTGATCGAATGGAACCAACTCAATAAACAATTGATCCATGTCAAAGAAGATTAAGAAAAAGATTCCCCAATTAATTTAAAAAAAAAAAGAATACTCTTAGTTCTGACAGAGCTAGCTTAATTAATTACCTAGTAATTAATTAAGCTAGCTCTGTCAGAACTAAGAGTATTCTTTTTTAAAAAAAAAATTAATTGGGGAATCTTTTTCTTAATCTTCTTTGACATGGAACAACATTAGCAAAAAAAAATGAATATCCAGAGTGTGTGATCGAATGGAACCAACTCAATAAACAATTGATCCATGTCAAAGAAGATTAAGAAAAAGATTCCTCAATTAATTTAAAAAAAAAAGAATACTCTTAGTTCTGAAAGAGCTAGTAATTAATTAAGCTAGTAGCTCTGTCAGAACTAAGAGTATTCTTTTTTTTTTTAAAAATTAATTGGGGAATCTTTTTCTTAATCTTCTTTGACATGGATCAATTGTTTATTGAGTTGGTTCCATTCGATCACACACTCTGGATATTCATTTTTTTTTGCTAATGTTGTTGGGTTTCGAGAAACTCGGGCTGTTTTTCGACTCAGTCGTTATATTACTAATAATAAATGAGAAAGTATGATTTTTTGTTTGAAAAATGACAAGTCATTATAGTACTGGACGTAGTACACATTTCATCATCATAAGGGGCATGGTTTAATCTGCTACAGATCCATTTAATGCGCTAAAAAAGAGATCGAGTCCTTTTTGAAAAGAATCGAAGAAAATGCGGAACAAGGAGGGGTTTTAGTGTTGACTTCTTTACCTTCTTGAATTGGTCTTCTTCCTCCAAGCTGGCAAGCTGCTAAGAAATACGTACTGCCTTTTCAAAAAGGACAGCTTTCTTGTTCTTTTTCCAAGTGCCTCTGCGCAAGACTGCATTTTTCATTTCTTAAAAGAACATTGATTACATATATGAATTTTTTCCAGAATTGATGCATAAATAATGTACGTCCAGCTTAAAATTAAAGAAACATCCCCTGACCTTCTTTCTTTTCCTCATTTGGTAATAAGTCAAAATAAAGGAGTCTTCTTTAAATAAATACTCGTAACTAATTTTCTGATCTGATATAGCAGAAAGTTTGTTAGTGGTACGTGTATATATATAACGGCTAGCTGCATGCAAATCAATTAAGCATATATAGCTCCCCCCCTGTCCACGTACTAGAATAATTCATATAAAGAAGAAAAATATGTCCAGGTATAAAACTTGAAAACTGACCTTAATTAGCTTGTCATATACATCTGATCAAAACCCTAGCCTAGCTATAAAAGGATGTATATATGTTATATACATATACACATACATACATAAATGTATGCATTGCATGCATAAATTTATATGCTATAATCTACCTAGCTAACTAGGTTTTTATTTCTCACTTTTAGGGCATCATATGGTCACAATAAACTCATTACTTTTTTTGTCCAAACACCATCATTCAAATTGCTATTACCTACAACTAATCAAGCGTACTCTAAAGTCATTGGGTTTTAAGAAAATTGGAATTTTTCTGATTGCGTTGCGGTTTAGGATGATGAGATTTTTCCTAAAAAATACTTCTTCGACTTCATGTTAGACTGTGTTCAATGATCTTGACTAATAGAGTATATTTTTGTAAAATTTATAAGTCATATTTTATGAGATTATTTTTAGCAAAAAACATTTTATATATGGAAATATCATTGGCCAAAGTTTAACATAATTGTCAAGAAGTTTAACTTAAAAAGATTTAAGCTGTACGCCCATAGAATTGCGAAAGTACAAATTTATATGTCTAAACACAAAGTGTGAAGTTTTAAACTTAGACTTATTATACTTACTACAGTGAAATATTTGATGTTGACATGGTATAGCTAAGCTTAATTAATTGAATAATAATAATAACTAATAGTATATTAATACATTATGCACTAACAACACCACGTGGTCATCAATGTGGCTCTAACTTCTTAATACTACGTATATTACTTGCTATACAAAGTGCAATAATATTAGATACAAATAAAAAAATATCATCAACCCACACATTATTCAAGTCATAAAATGTAAATATGTAATTAATGAACTTGAGTTTAGATGTTGGCTCGGATAGTTATTTTCAAATTTGAATATCATTGAATCTTTCAAAAGTACAATTTTATGTTAATGAAAACAACAAAGATATCGACGAACAAAGCTTCACAAGCTCATAAGTAAAAGTATAAAACAAAACTCAAAACCTTTTATTATTTAGCAAATGGTGGAAGCTTAATTAATCATAGCAAAAAATATAAAATTATTGTAAAAGAAATGCAAAAATAAAAACGTGAAGACCATGGCATTGAAGTCGATCTGTATACCATACTTATATTATTAAAATACTGATACTAGAAGGAATCATGTTCCTTTCTACCATTTTTTGTTTTGTCATTCTTGCCATTTTTGAAAGGAACATTTACAAAGGAACTTAGGTAGGAATTACATACTATGACTTTAGAGAGGAACTTAGGCAGGAACTACAAATTAGCAAGGAGGGTTTTAGAAGGGAACCATACTTCCTATCTATTTTCCTATCTAACCTATTTAGAGAGGAATATAAACTATTTGGGTAGAAATTTGATTCCTTTCTAATTACTCTTTTTCTAGTAGTGAGTATTAGCAAGACGTACGTACGGTACACCCCAAAGCTGAGATTTTGAAGGAGACAGAAAAAAGAAGAAGCAAATCAAGAATCAAGATGGATGGATGGATCAGAGAAAAGATGATCTGAGAAGAAAGGAGAGGGTACTGGGTATTCATAGACAGTAGATACATACCAAGATTCAGTAGCGTACTCAAAGAGCTTGCCTTTGGTGGAGAAGATGATGAGGGCGACCTGGGCATCGCAGAGAACCGAAATCTCGTGGGCTTTCTTGAGCAGCCCGGTCCGGCGCTTCGAGAAGGTCACTTGCCGGTTTATCTTGTTTTCGATTCTCTTCAGCTGCACCCTCCCTCTCCCCATTTTTTCTCAGATCGATCCGGATGGAGAATAGATTGATATTTGTACGAACAGGAGGTATATATATATGCGGGCAAACCAGCATCTTATATATATACTCGGTCGGTCCTGCCCTTTATATATATACAGATCGATATATAGAAATTCATAATAAAGAGATTAATTGAATATGGAAAGTAAAAGGGGTGGAGAAGGATGAGGTAGATGGCGGTCCTTTGTGGGATATAGGGCGGATTGGGTAAAACCGGAGTTGTTTAGTTGGATTTGTTTTCGGTCGTTGATTGGTTGAGGCGCGGAAGTGGTTTGTGTCGCTCTTGAGGCCACAAGTTGTGGGGGAGCCTCATTAGCTAGCTAGCTAGCTGCTTGCTCCGTTCTGTACGGCTAGCTCCCTCCCAATGTCACACAATTTTTTTTTCAAGGGACCGGCCTTATGGCCCGCTTTCTACTTCCCTCTACACTTCCATGTCATAACATCTAGTCTACTCTACAAAGTAAACCATGTTTTTCTTATTTTACTATCTAGAAACATTCACATGATAAAACTTTAATATCATTCCTTTCTCGTTGAGTTTCTACGTAACTTCAATCACAAAACTTTTACTTTCCTTTTCAGAGTGTCAATCAACCTTGCACATTCTATGACGATCAACCTTGGAAAAGTCCAGCGGCACAATTTGTACTTCAATGTTGTGAATTCATTTTTTTGTGTATTGCTCAATTAAGGTTGTTCGTTCCTTAGTTGAGATTCTGATTTTGATGTTCAAATCGGAGGTCGAGCTTGATGAATTGAGAATGAAGTTTCCCAATGAAGCCCTCCACCTCATTATGGTTATGATCATTTTTTATTTGATGCAAACTAAAACATTTTTAGTGAGGGTTTTTATTATCTCATTCATTGTTGATTCTTCTGTCTCGAACCCTTATGAAAACCCAGAATAGGGTTAGAAGTGTTGCTTTGTGGTTTTCATAAGTTATCTTGATTGTAACTTAATTGTTGTTCTTCAGGTTGTTGCTCCCTTGATTCATTCGTCCTTTGAATTCATGTAATTAATTCACACCCCTCGTGAGTTGGATATGAATTACCTTTTGGTACTTGTGCTACTTCTTTAATCCTCTTTTGACGTACAACATGTAAAGTTGTTTGAATAAAAGTTTGTATATTTTGTTGCATGGTTTGTTTAAAATCGGCCAATTGTTTGTCTACTTCATGGGCGACGGAGACTTCACTAAATCCGGCAACTTTGACATCTCACTCTCCCTTGTAGTTGAGGATTTGAGGATTTCAGGCAGTATACTTAAAAGTTCTAAAGGCCTAATATGTTTCCAATGTATTGAAATGTATTGTTTTAATTCATCTTTGATTGTTTATAAGTAGTACGTCATTTGTGAGTTAAAGTAGTATGTTTGTCATAGCAACTGAAGGCACAAAGAAGAGTATGAGGTGATTTATGAGCTTCCAAATGAAGCAATGATTAGTTTGATAAAACACTCGGTCAGGTATTACATATACCCGAGTGAGTATGAGGTGATTTCTGAGCTTCCAGGAAACTGTCTGACACACTCGGTCAGGTGTCTACCTACACTTGATCAGAAGGTGTTGAGGAACAAAAGATCACGCAAAATATTGGGAATTGACAATACACCTAATCGCCAGTCTCCAAATACACCTATAAATATTACCATTCTCCTTCCCATTAGGCATCCATTTTCTCCTATACTTAAGCTCGTATTCGATCAGTGATTTTCATATATTTCTATTCTTGTTTAGACTCCAATAACAGCTAAATTCTTTCATCTTGGTTTTGCAATATTGAAACTTGTATTTTGTAAGTTGTGAGTTATTTACTTTAATCATCCTTTTTTGAGTAATAATCATATTCCTAATTAAATTTCATACTGATATTTGAGATTGTTGAGTGATTAATTTGTTAATGATTTCATATTGATTATTACTAGAATTGAGCGACGGATACTCTTGTTAATGATCTCATGGTTAATAATTTAAAGGGTGATTAATTATATTTGATAGACTATAGGTCTAGAGAGAAGGGAGAGCTACAGAGAGAAGTTCTATATTTGCTCTGTATTAATGATTTTTGTGAACCCTTTACATGGCTCCCAAAGGGAGTATTTATAGAGGAAATTAGGGTCGGGCTCCCAAGTCTTGGGCTTGGGAGGCCCATTTACAATTGGGTCACTACTGGACCGAGTACAAAGAGTGTAAAAATAACAAAGTATGAAATCCGGTTCTAGGAGTTCTCTGTGGCCGAAGGAGGTTCGGCCGAAGGAGGCGCCTGGCCGATGGAGACACAGCCGACGGAGGACCATCCGAGCTGATTGCTGCCTGGGCCATATTCTGAGCTGACTGTTGCTTGGCCGACGGGGGCGCCGGCCGACGGAGGCACCGGCCGACGGGGGCACCGGCCGACGGAGGCACTGGCCGACGGGGGCACCGGCCGACGGAGGACAATTCTTCTCCTTGGCTTCTGGACCGTATTCTGGATCGACTCTTCTACGGCTGATGGGGGGCCACCTGGTCGAAGGAGGACCCACTGGGTGACAGTTGTGCTTCCTCTTAGTCTTCTGAGTATGTGGGTCATGGGGTCTAGACCCATATACTCCGTCAGGAGTCCCCCACTCTCTGAGCTGAGGTGTAGACGAAGTGAAAGGGAGTAGATCCTTGTTGTTCTGACGCTTTGGCCGACGGAGGATTACCTGGAAATTGTAGTGTTCCTGGCCGAGGCGGTGCCATATTTGTTGGCTGCCTTGTCCTTCATTTTGAGGACGGAGAATGTTCTTCATTCTGAGGACGACGAATGCCCTTCATTTCAAGGACGATGAATGTCCTTCATTTTGAGGACGATGAATGTCCTTCATTTTGAGGACGATGAATGTCCTTCGTTTTGAGGACGATGAATGTCCTTCATTTTGAGGACGATGAATGTCCTTCAATTTGAGGACGATGAATGTCCTTCGTTTTGAGGACGATGAGTGTCCTTCATCTTGAGGACGATGAATGTCCTTCGTTTTGAGGACGATGAGTGTCCTTCATCTTGAGGACGATGGATGTCCTTCATTTTGAGGACGATGGATGTCCTTCACTTTGAGGATGCTGAATGTCATAGTCCCGAAGACGATGCGTGCCTTTGGCCTTAAGGACGAGGAGTGTCCTTGGCTTCGAGGACGATATGTGCCCTTGATCTTTAGGACGATGTGTGTCCTTGATATTGAGGATGATGTGCATCCTGCTTTGCGCTTCGGCATGGCCGAAGGGTGAACACGTGGTTATTGGACGTTGAGGTACCATTGTCATGGACTTGTGTTCGTTGGATTTTGAACTTGTTTATCTTTGCGCTGGAGGCCGATGTAGTCCCCCAGTCCCCCACTCCTCGAGGCTCATGTAGTGAGGTGAAGAGGAGTAGAGCAATACACGTCTTCAATAGGGGGCCGAGGGTCGACACCTTTTGATCCACAATGGGGCGATGCCTCGTTAAAAACCTCATTAGGAAAAATCATGTGGGAAAAAATCCTAATGAGGGAAAAAGAGCACATCGGATCCCCCAAAATGAACTCCAAGGGGTGAACCCTTCGACCTAGGTGTGGAGCTGCAGTGGTGTCCGTCTGCTGAGGGGTCGCCCGCCTAGTGGTGAGGACGACGGCGCTGATGAGTCGGTCTGAATATGAGGATGAGGCAATAAACACATGTCTGAATATGAGGACGACGGTGGTAATGAGCCATGCGTCATATGAAGGCGACGGTCACTATCCAGGAAGGGAATGGCGAGCCCGGTCGCTATAACAGTACCTCGGCGTTGGGAGCCGGTCTCGAGATATGAGGACGACAGCACTGAGGGGCCGGTCTGAAATCCATGCAACGGTCGCCATCCGGTAAAGGAATGGCTAAGACCGGTCTTTGAGATGAATAATCACATCGAGGCCGAGGGGGCGGTCGTGATATGAGGACAAAGGCACTGAGGGGCCGGTCCGAAGATCCATGCAACGGTCGCCATCCGGTAAAGGAATGACTAAGACCGGTCTCGAGATAAATAATCACGTCGAGGCCGATAGGCCGGTCGTGATGTTCGGATGGCGATGAGAAGGAGCCAATCCAAAATATGATGATGGGGCGATGATGAGTCGGCCGTCATATAGAGGCAATGGTCACCATCCTGGAAGGGATGGCGAGCCCTGGCTCAAGACTCTCGGAGCTGAGGAAGCCGGTCTTGAGATAGATAATCACGCTGAGGCCGAGGGGCCGGTCGTGATGTCCGGATGGCGATGCTGAGAAGCCGATCCGATAATATGATGACAGGGCGATGATGAGTCGGCCGTCATATAGAGGCGATGGTCACCATCCAGGAAGGGATGGAGAGCCCGATCGCTGGCTCAAGACTCTCGGCGCTGAGGAAGCCGATCTCAAGATAGGTCATCATGCCGAGGCCGAGGGGCCGGTCATGATGTGCGGACGTCACCACTGGGAGGCCGATTCGAAAGTCCATGCAGCGGTCCTTATCCATAGGGTGAGAGGATGAGGCTGGTCTTCAGAGTATGATGATCACGCTGAGACCGAGGGGTCTGCCGTGTCGATATAAAAGATCGCGTAGAGACCGAGGGGTCTCCCACGATGTGAGGATGACAGCGGTGATGAGCCGTTCCAATAAATGATGACGAGGCGATGATGAAATCGTTCGTCAAGTAGAGACGACGGTCCCCATCTTGGAAGGGATGGAGAGCCCGATCATTGGCTCAAGACACTCGGCGCTGAGGAGGCCAGCCTTGAGATGAAGGATCACGTTGAGACCGAGGGGTCTCCCGTGAACTGAGGACGACGGCACTGATGAAGCCGTTCGTCGTATGAAGGCGAGGGTCGCCATCTAGGAAGGGAATGGCGAGCCCGCTTGCTAGCCCAAGACGCTTGGCATTGAGGAGGCCGGTCTTGAGATGAAGGATCACGTTGAGGCTGGGAGGCCATTCGTGATCTGAGGATGACGGCGCTAATGAAGCCGCTCGTCATATGAAGGTGAGGGTCGCTATCCAGGAAGGGAATGGCGAGCCCGCTCGCTAGCTCAAGATGCTCGGCGCCGAGGAAGCCGGTCTTGAGATAAATAATCACGCCTTGGCCGAGGGGCCGGTCGCGATGTGAGGACGACGATGCTGATGAAGCCGCTCGTCGTATGAAGGCGACAGTCGCCATCCCAGAAATGAATGGCGAGCCCACTCGCTAGCTCAAGACACTCGGCGCTGAGGAGACCGGTCTTGAGATGAAGGATCACGTTGAGACCGAGGGGTCTGCCGTGATCTGA